AGTTGTTTTCATCTCCCCTTTCTCTGTGCATACAAACAGCTCTGTGCCTGGAGAATGGGGCCTGGAGCATCCGGGCTTGTTTGCTGTCGTCTCATGCCCTACCTGCTTTATGACTCCTAGCAGCCACAGCTCTTCTGGAAGGGAAATGCGGGTAGAGTTGGGATAGCTGCCTGCCCAGAATCGCCATGGAAAATTTAGATGTGCAGAAACTATTAAAATCGTCAATGGCTTCTGAAAGTCCCAGAATGGTGTGGTGAGGGGCTTGGGGTGGAGCAGTGCATCTCCTGGCAGCCTGCTTTCCTTCACTGGGCACTGGCAGGTGGCGGGGCCAGTGGTGGTGGAGTAGACTGGGATCAGGGAGGAGTGACAAGGTGAGTCCTGTTTGTGAGGCTGTGAGCCTTGAGGTATTTACAGCTGCATTCATCATAGGTAGAAAGTCAGGTTAAATCAGGCATGGCCTTCAATGTGGTATTGAGCAGGCACTAAAACTGCATAGGAAGATGGCAAAATAGCGGTCATATAATAACACAGTTCGCACCTTTTGATGACAGCTAGGCACCAGCTATGGTAGCTATTCTCTGAAGTGTTATTGCCTCTGAAGTGTTGAGTGCATCATGACATATGAGAAGACAGTTTCCTCCTCTTCATTTGCCTCTTTGAAAATTTCCTTGGCCCTTGTTATATTTTTTTATTCTATTGAATTAAAAAATATTCTAATCCTTGTTTATTAAGATAATATCATTTTTGGAGATATTGGATTTTATAAAATTTGTATGATTGTAATTATGTGAATTGTTATATTAGGTATCCTGATATTTATATATTCTTATATTCCTATAATAAGCCTTATTAGGTTAATATATTGCTGGATTTTATTATAGTATAATGGTTCTCTAATGTGTTTTATCTGTCAGTTTTGAAAACAGGCTTTTGCTAGCTTTATATTAATGATTTGGAATGCACTGTATCTTTTTCTGTATTTTGGAACAGTTTAAATAACAGAATCGATTCCTGCTTTGCTCCTGAAATCCTCTGGGGGTGGTAGACTTGGTGGGAAGAGTGTAACGTCTTTTCCAAGTTCTGCAGTATTGGTCTGATTGGTTTGTCTCCTTTTTCTTGTGTCCATTTGGTACTTTATTTTTCTAACAGTCGTCCTCTTTCAGAAGTTCAGAGCTTTTGGCATTAGACCACATGAGGTGTGGTTAACATTTCGTGTGCTCTCCGCCGCGGTGGCCCTCTATTGACAGTTCTCATGCTGTGCGTCTGAATCTCTTCTTTGGGCTGACTTTTCAGAGCTTTGTCTGTTCTGGTTGGTGTTTTCAAAGAGTTATTTAGTTTTTTGCTTTATCAATTCTACCAGGGTTTTTTCTTTAAGATTCACTAACTTTTGTTTTTATCTTATTCTCTCATTTTCCTTTTTTCAGCAGATTGTATTGACTGCCGAGTTTGATTTCAGCCTTTTTGACTAGAGTGTAAAGAATGAGTCTTCTTTGTGTGGGCCAAAGCTCTGCTGATAGCTAGTAAAAGGAGCTCACTAATGATGATACTCAGATCCCTTGCATCTTAATTTTTAAATATTTTGTTTTCTTTGATGTTACTTTCTCTCTTCTGATCTGTCAGACTCTGAGAGGCTACAGTCAGGTCCCCTGAAAGCTGTGGCTCTACCACTCTGTCAGCGCAGATGTAAGGAACTTGCTTTTGTTTCGTAGCATTGCTTCTTGGTAGGTAAAGTTTCACGGCACATTTTTCTTTGTGTTGTCTCATTTAAAATAGAAATTATCCCTCTTTTTTCTGTTCACTTCTTTTTTTTTTTAAAGATTTTTATTGGGGATTTGGGGAGGAGAATATTGTGTTTTTCCAGGATCCATCAGCTCCATGTCAAGTTGTTGTCCTTCAGTCTTAGTAGTGGAGGGCGCAGCTCTGCTCCAAGTCCAGTTGCTGCTTGCGCTTGCAATCTAGTTGCAGGAGAACATAGTCCACCATCCCATGCAGGAGTTGAACTGGCAATCTTGTTACACGCTGAGCCACCCGGCTGCCCCTGCTCAGTTCAAGGTGCGGTTTTCAATCTTAGTTGCAAGGGGTTGGGAGTAGGGGGGTGGAAGAGGGGGTGGCGGCGCAGCCCACCCTCCCATATGGGTGTCAAACTGGCAACCTTGCTACTAAGAGCATGTTCTCTCACCAGCTCAGCTCGGGCGCAGCTCACTGGCCCATGTGGAAATCAAACTGGTGACCCTGTTGCACAGAGCTCGTGCTCTTAACCAACTGAGCCACTCGGCTGGCTTCTGTTTACTTCTTTTCATCTGATATTTATATTTCTAATCCTGCCCTATTTTTTTGTTTACTTTTCCTTGGTATATCTTTGATAATTCCCATATTTTCTACTTCTAGTGCCAGTCTACTTTGGGTTTCTTTTAAACATGAGAGTGTTTTTGCCATACTTACCCAGTGAAAGCCTAGCTGCTAGTAACCCACTGTCACATAACCCACTGTCATGTCAAACCCCTGACATGATTAGTCTTTTTTGCTCTGTCGTAGTTTGAGAGTTCTGCAATCTATTTCTTGTTTCATATTTATGCCAAAGTAGTAACTGTTAATCAGTAAGTGGGCATGAATGTTTAGCAAATGTCTATCAGCCTATTTTTATCTTGTGGTTAAGAATTAAACAATATCTGTCACCCCGTTCTGCCCCTGGACAGGGTCAGATTTTTAGTTCCCGTGTATTTTCCCCTATTCTCACTCTAGGTTTTGTTAAACTAAACCAGAATTATAGCAACACTTAAAAATATCTCCCTTTTTATATTTTAGATCCTTTCTTAGCAGTGTTTTAGTGTTTACCTAATTATTGTTTTTTTAAAAGATTTTTATTGGGGAATTTGGGGGATGGGAACAGTGCTGGGGAATTGGGGGAAGGGGAACAGACAAGTTGCTGTCCTTTTGTTCTTCAGTCTAGTTGTGGAGGACGTTGCTTCACTGGCCCAAGCTGGCACTATCATTGCGCTCTTCCCGGGCAAGGCAGATCAGTCGCCGGCTTCTGGACGGCCGCTCACTGCGGCTGCTGGCCGCTCACGTTGGCTGCTGGCTACACACGGTAGCCCATGGCAACCCACTGCAGCCGGGGCTGCAGCCTACGCTGTGTCTGGTGACTCACAGCAGCCCAGCTCCAGGTTGAGCTGTTGTTCAGCATCTTAGCTGTAGAGGGCAGTGTCACTGGCCCTCATATGTGGGATCCGAACCAGGGCCCTCTGGCGTCCCAAGCCAGTTCTTAACCATTGCACCACTCGGCTGGCCCACTTAATTATTGTTTTAATAATTTATTTTAAAAACTGGTATATATATTACATGTAATTTTCCCTTAAGAATTTTTTCTTTTATAGTAAAGTAAGAGGCAGTGTTACCTAATATTTAGTTAATACTATTGGGTTGTTGGAAAAGTCATGACACATTTTTGCATTGAAAAACATAGAAAAATACGTCATGACTTTCCCGACAACCCAATAGCTTTGGAGTTGGCTGCCTTTCCACATTCAAATCCTGACTCTGCCATTTACCAGCTGTGTGACCTGATACATTATTTACTATTTCTAAGACACAGTTTTCTCATCTGTAAAACGGGAGTTAGTAGAGGACCCTGTCCTCTGTCAGAGTTGCCATGTCAGTGACAGGCTTTCCTGTTGGGGAGGTCTGTTGTCTGTGGGCATACCTTCTGACCCTGGAAAGGAACCATGTCCTCTTAGTGACTGCACCCCTACACCTCTGGATGTCACATAGCATACCTAGCACGCTCCTGCTGGTTTATTTTCTGTCCTTGCCTGTCTGAATATGGAGTTTGTTTTTCCTGTCAAGCATGACTGCTAATTCGGATCAGTGAAGAGTTCCAGGGTCACTGCTTTACCCCCAGAACTATGGAAAGACTTCCCTTTGCTTTCTGACATGTTTAATGTTACAGAAAAGATGTTCAACACTGATAGAGCCTTTTTCCTCTGCAGGGAATCTCTTTTTGTTTTGTTTTGAAGCTATAGCATTTTCTCTTGTTTTTATTTATTTTTGGAATTCAGACAGCTCTTCGGTATATGCGTAGGTGTATGTTTTTATCAACGTTTCTGCTTGACACTCTAGGATTTTGCTCTATAGACTCAAGGCTCTCCTCAGAATTTTTTTCTACATTAAAAAAAAAAATCATTGCTTTTTTTTTTTAAAGATTTTATTGGGGAATTGGGGGAAGGGGAACAGACAAGTTGCTGTTGTTTTTGTTCTTCAGTCTAGTTGTGGAGGATGTTGCTTCACTGGCCCAAGCTGGCACCATCATTGCGCTCTTCCCGGGCGAGGCAGATCAGTCGCCGGCTTCTGGACAGCCGCTCACTGTGGCTGCTGGCCGCTCACGCTGTGGCCGGCGACTCACGGCAGCCCAGCTCCAGGTCGAGCTGTTGTTCATTCAGCATCTTAGCTGCAGAGGGCAGTGTCACTGACCCTCATATGTGGGATCCGAACCGGGGCCCTCTGGCATCCCAAGCCAGTTCTTAACCAATGTGCCACTCAGCCGGCCCAAAAAATCATTGCTTTTAAGTGTTTTTACTCTATCCTCCTGGAATTCGTGTGATAAATCATTAGAACTTCAGTATTTGTTTTTCTTATCTCCTTGGCTTTTCTCTCATTTTCTTGCTTTTGTTTTCAAATAAATCACTGTCCATCTACCTTGTTCTAAGTTTAACAAGGATTGACACAAAGGATGTTTTGGAAAAATAAAAATTGGGTAAATGTTTATATATTATAACTTTTTCTGGTCTTCTTTTGAGCCCCCTACCCCAATAGTGGATATGTTAGTCAATGTTTACCACTTAGAGATAAATGAAACATACAGTAAACTTCTATTGCTGATAATATATATGTTTGCATACATACATATAAAGTGCTTTGGATTACATCATGATTGGAAGATTGTCATTTTAAGAGTGATGCTCAATAATTTAACTTCTTATTTAAAACTGCCTTTATCATTTTAGGAGAAACTAATTCGAGATATTGCTCATTGTCATGGAATTTTGATCACTTCCTACTCCTACATTCGCTTGATGCAGGATGATATTAGCAGGCATGACTGGCACTATGTGATCTTGGATGAAGGACACAAAATCCGAAACCCAAATGCTGCCATCACCCTTGCTTGCAAACAGGTATTACCTCATATAACAAGGGGGATTTCCAGTTGGATCATAGTATTTAATTGAGAATAAACTCCCTGATTTAGTAACACATTTATGGAATATCTTTTATTATGCCTTTACATAAGGAATTTGAAATATACATTTTGCCTTAATGCAGAAAATTATTTATTCTTGCCCTTAATCATGTTTTGTAAAATTCTAATTGTTCACATTACTTAATGTCTCTTGTTAGAATGTCAGTTGTTAGAATGTAACCAAATCTAACTCAAATCTATAGTATTCAGCTTGAACAATGAGAAAAAATTTTCCCAATTTTTTTATCTGTATGTAATTAAAGAATTAAAATTGCATAAAATGTTTATGTTTTGGAGAAGACCAAAATGATGCATAAATGTGTTAAATAAAAAGATTGCGTGGGAGTGTTTTGGGGTAGGGTTGGTGATCATCTGTTAAGAGGTAAATTTAATCAAGACATATTTTCTTTTCCAAAACAGTTCCGCACCCCTCATCGCATCATCTTGTCTGGCTCACCGATGCAAAATAACCTCCGTGAGCTGTGGTCGCTCTTTGACTTTATCTTCCCAGGAAAGTTGGGCACATTGCCCGTGTTTATGGAGCAGTTCTCAGTCCCCATCACCATGGGGGGATATTCAAATGCCTCCCCAGTACAGGTAATGTATTAGGCAGGTAACACTTTCAGCATTTTAATATTTTAAATGTTCCTGCTCAGTACTATACTCTGTAGCCAAGTCATTCAGAATATTAGGGAGATGGCCAAGCTTATAAATTAGTATCTGATAAAAATGACAAAATTCTTTTTGCTTGATAGCTTGGATTTTTCCAGATGAGTTTTTAAAAATCTTGAAAAATATTCAAGAGTAGTCAGGAATTATGAGACAATTGCGAATCAGTTCTGTACAACATATAACAGTGCGAATTGGGGTAGTGCATCTTATAAAGTTGTCTGAAGGCTTAGAAAAGAGGAACCTGAAGGGCGATTGTTCGGGGAAGACTTAATGAGACACATATCCCTTATTCTGATTCTGGGAAAACAGGTGGAGAAGGATGAGGGCATTCTAGATTAGGGTAACAGTGTGGAGGCAGCCACATTATATGCGCATAGGCAGGGGAGAGACATGCTTGACTAGACTGGAGATGCTGGTGGGGGAGTAGCAGGCGAGCTGAGGATTCTGGCATTGAGAGCGTTGAAAGGGAGGTAGAGCTCTTAGGCAAAGAAGTGTCACAGAGGGTGCCTGAGCAGGACCCTAGAATAGGGCTGTTCTCAGTGGGTCACTCAGGCTGTGGGTAGTTGTGGGAGGAGGCTGGCATTGAGATACCTGCAGGAATCATTGGGGTGAGGGTTATAAGGACTTGGACCTGCACCTGGACCTCGGTGGTGGTCCTGAGAACAAAAGTGGAGAGCAAGTGCCCCGGGAGGCATTTTCTTAGGCAGAACAAACAAGGTGTGGAGGTTAATAAGATAAAGGAAATGGGGTAGGGGTGGTGAGCTTGCTGCAGCTGACCCCTGAGGTTTTAGGCCTGGATGACTGGCAGCATGGGGCTGTCACAGATAGGAACATCAAGAGGCGAAGCCGATCTGAGGACAGGATCCAGCCTGGGTGAGAGGCAGAGTTTCTGCATAGCTCTCAGGGGGCCTGTACCTGCCAGGTCACAAAGAAGCTTTTCACCAAAAGAGACGTGCTTATGTTTTGAAGTGTTGGGTCTTCGGAAGAGTCATGATGCATGTTTGCTACAGATGGCACTTGTTCATTTTTGGAAGTACTAGAGTCATCCGCATCTGTTATTGCTATGTCATTTGACAGCTGACCATTCTAGCTTCATTCTAAAAAAAATTGAGCGATTTTGTTGAGTTTTGGAGATTTTACAACAAGTTGAAGATGGAAGACCAAACTCTGTATTTTTGCCATATTTTACTGTTTTACTTCCATAAAGGGAAGAAGGCGTGTCAAGCTTGTGAAAAGTTGCATAAAGTTTATGGTGACAATGCTCTACAAGAACGTCAGTGCCAACAATGGTTCACGAAATTCCGTTCTGGTGATTTTTATCTCAATGATACTCCTTGGTCAGGGAGGCCCACAGAGGTTGATGACAACAAAAAAAAGGCATTGATCGAGTCAAACCCACGTTACACGACATGAGAGATTGCAGAAACATTGAACATCCATCATTCAAGCGTTCATGACCACCTGAAGAAGTAGGATACGTAAGTAAGCTCGATATTTGGGTTCCGCATGAACTCAAAGAAGTTCATTTGACAGCTCATATAAACATTTACAATATGCTCATTAAACGTGAGGAAAGCGATCCTTTTTTGAAGCGACTGATAACTGGTGATGAGAAGTGGACTGTTTACAACAATGTGGTGCGCAAACAGTCTTGGTCCCGACGTGATGATTTGCCTCAAACGACATCTAAAGCAGACATTCATCAGAGGAAGGTTATGCTCTGTGTGGTGGGACTTTAAAGGTGTCGTGTTTTTTGAGCTCCTACCAAGGAACCAAACAATCAATTCGAATGTGTATTGTCAGAAATTGGACAGTGCAGGGACGGCCGAGTGGCTCAGTTGGTTAAGAGCTCGCTCAAGAGTTTGAGCTCTGAGCAACAGCGGTTCAAGTCCAGCCCGAGCTGAGCAGCCGCTGAGCTGCCAACAGGTAGCAGGGTGGCTCAGCTAAAAAAAAAA